AAAAATCAAAAATGTATATAACTTCAGATATAACAAATATAACTTTATTAATTGTTATTTTTTATTTTTTTTTAATATTTCATTATTAAATGGGAAATTTTAAATGAATGGTTGCAACATCGTAAATAAATAATGGTTGGAAATAATTGCTTGTAAGGAGAAAAAAATTCTTATTGCGCGTATATGAGCAAAAATTTATAGATAAATTCCATGTCGATGGCTGGTGAAAAATATTAAAAAACTAGTAAAACCTAAAGAAATTGACTTTTTCCGGAAGCGCGATTTGACTTAGCACTCCTGAAATTCATTGTAGCCTCCATGTTATAATGATATTTAAAGTAAATTTACATTTTCCAAACTTTCTATCTCATGCACATTGGTAAATCATACCACACCCTATCTCAAAATCTATGAACAAATATTGATGAACCGAGATGACACGATCATTAAAGTCGGAATCTGCCAGTTTATTGCTTTGTCTGTTATCAAAAATGGCTAAATGAAATTTATCCTTTAATTCTCTTTCTTTCATTGATTCAGTCAAAAATTCAGAGATTATCTGCTTGCAGTGTCGATTGAACGACTAATATCCTTATCAATAAATGAAAAATGAACCGCTTATTTGAAGAAATTGTAACAAATCTGATAAGGACCAGCAGAAACAAACAAAGCAAAAGCAAAATATTCAAAGGAAAGCGGATGAAGTGCAGATTAAGGGTAACGCAACTATGCATGGAATTTGTTTTCTTCAACAAAAACAAGATTATTGCGAAAATAAAAAGTCCATATAAAAGAGATTTCGGGCAAGCACAATCGGTATCTTTTCTATTAATTATCATCTTTCGCAAATGCTGTTCATTTTTTTTTTATTATTTTTATAATTCCTATAGGTGTTAACAATAAAATTAATTACTATTAATATTATATAAATGATTTTATGGTTAATTAATATTAATATTATATAAATAATTTTAAAATTGGTAAAAAATTAGAAAACATTCGTCAATATTATATTTTTATTAGAATTCTCAGTCCTTGTTAGTCACAGCCAACGAATATTGAATGCGGAATACTATAAAATTAATCAGTTTTACTCCATTTCACACCTTTTAAAAGGAAATAACTTATAAACCGAAATATTAATAAAATGGCTATCACATCACTATTTTTCATAGGTTTGCAGACATGAAAGTGCTTTCTGTGTCATTCTTCATCGCCTTCATTATCGCAACTTTAATGCTTTCCACTGTGAGTTATTTTAATTTATTATTAAACACCAAATTTAATATTTCATTTTATACCAATCATTTCCATTAGCAATAATTCGAATAATTGCTTTACAAAAAATCGAACATTTCATGAATTTTTGGACATATTTCTGTGCAAAAAATAATTTTTTCTACTTATTATTATTTATCGCATTTATTATTTTATTGCGAATATTTATTCTGTTATTTTAATTTTTATACATATTTCTGTTTATATTTAATATAAAATATTTGATAAACATAAATATAATATAAATATTAAATATTTCAGGAATTGGTCAAGTCCCAGGGAACTGCGGTATTTTTTTTGTTTGTATTACGCAATCAGAAATTGCTTTTATTAAACTAATAACTTTTCCGATCATCGATGGAATCCCTATGAAAACATTTTGTTATTTTGTTAAAAAATTTGTTTGCATATTTTGGCGAACAAATTTAGTTAAGAAGTAATCATATTGTATATTCTTTATATTGCAGAATGAAAGAGGAGTTAGGTACAATCCACCTCATGCTAAAGGAAACCTTATTGGAACACGAATAACACGATACAATAAATGAAACAATAAATTTCGTGGCAGAAGTTCGTAAAAAAATATTGATAAAATATCTTTTGTTTCTAAAAAATTGTTTAAATTTCGATGTTTCGTAAATTGAGTTCAATGTTGAATAAAGGATCTTTTATGAATTCTGTTTCTCCCATCACCATCGAACGCTATTTCAAAAATTTAAAAAAGGTGTAAATCGAGTGATAAAGTATGAAAAATATTATTATTGTTAAGGATATGATTTTTAGTACTAATAATTATAATTATGATAATGGTTGCCACCTTTGAAGGAAATGTATTCGCAGCAAATCTTTATATATTTTGTCGAGTGGAGGGAGAACAAAATTATGATAAAAGTGTGAATATGAATATGAGAAAATATGAAAATATTTTTTATTTTTAATTTCCATATATTTAATTCCATCTGAAATCAGCGATTTTCAAGATTTTCAGTAATTCTGATCATTTGCAAATTATTAAATTTAAAAAATTTCCATGCAGAATGGAAAACCACTCCTTAATTTAATTATTTATTTTGAATGAAAATTCCAAAATGCAAAAATTAAACATTTAAATAAGTAAAATAGAATTCAAAACCATTTCCACTGGCTACGTTACGTTAATCTTCATTAATTCTATCCTCGAGGCATAAATCTTAGCTAACTTCTACAAATATAATTTTTATAATTTATAATTAATTTTTATAATTAAAATATAATTTTTGTGACGGAAATTAATTGGAATATTTGGCAGAAAGGCAAAAATGATTTCATTCTGTTGTACTATAAGGTTGCCTTAGGGCGAATTTCAAATTATGTAAATATTATAAATATATATAATATAATATATATATAAATTATTATATATTATTATGCATATATAAATGGATGTGGTAAATTATCGCAAATGAAGAAGGTTGCCGAATAGAGGCAAATGGTAGTGGTTGGTTTTCACATCTATAGAGATTTCTTACAAGTTTTTGCGGAACAATATTTAGAATTATTTTTATTTATCATATAGAAATTAGAAAAGTTAAGATGTTGTTGGCTAACATTATGAGAAAAGCAATTAGATATGCTTAAAAAATGCAAATTTGAAAAAAGTGTGATATTTTCTAGGAGAAAACTTAAATTTTATTTTATTTAGTTTCTTTCAGATTAATAACATTATGCACGTGGTCGGCCATGAATTTCTTTTTTTATGGAGTCCTCACCATTACTGGTTAAACTCTCTTCGCTGAATTGTCGCACTGGGTAAATATGCTCTTGATGGACGAAATACTCGTGAGTCGCCAGCACCATCTGGATTTTTGGAGAGGTTTACTTCTGCGAAAAAAAGAACCCTACTGTCGGAGTAAACCACTAAACCATTATAATCACGTAAATTAGGAATAATAAATAAAAATAATAAGGAATATAAAAACAGGTGGTATGTTTTTTTCTACAGCGCTTTTATGATTTTCTTCTCGATTTTTTTAAATTTCGGTTCGAATGAATTTAAAAAACGCATTAAACTTTATAAAACTACCATATATTTATTGTCGCTAATATGTCGATTCATATTCGCGTCGTCGCTATTTTGTCGTTCCATTTAAGCAACATTATTTTGATAATGCTTGATAATAATAATAATTTGTTTGATGTTAGATGCTTTACTGCACCATACGATTGCACAGCTCGTGTGAATTCGCCAAATTTCAAAAATATATCAGATCATAAGTGATAAATACACGTACTTGAAGAATGAAATCCTTACTGGGTGAGGAATTTAGAGTTACCTAGGAATAAAACGTTTCTTTTAAATTCTGAGATACTGGCGATACACTTGTACTTCCAACACAAAGATGGGCTCTGTCGAAAATTGATTAATCTAATCTCTCAAACTTGGGTAATTAAGATGGGCTCTGTCGAAAATTGATTAATCTAATCTCTCAAACTTGGGTAATTCAACCATGAATAGCTAATGCTCAACAAAAAGATAGAAATGATTTCATCTGATGAAGTTACCTTAAGGTAACATCATTGCACCAGTGGTAAAGTCCAATAATCCGCTTATTATAGAGAAGATTATGGGATTAAAGGAATGTATTCAGAATTCAGCATTCAGCCGATGCTATTTTTCAAACTATTGTTTTCGAACTTCTTGATGCCTGATGATCAGCTAGTTCCATATTCTTTTGGGAGAAATTTCTGGCTAATACAGCAATGTATTTCAATTTTATTAACATAGAGATCTGTGGAAGATACGCTGGAATTTGTCGGATAGAGGATAATTTTCGTTTTTATATGATATCTTTTCATTTTTAAACTTTGTAAAATACTCTTTAATATTACTGTTTAATGGACTAACGCAATGTTAAAATTTCATGGCCTTATCTGCTTTATCATTGTTCAGAAATATCATGTGATAAGTTCTTTCGATTAGATAGTTTAATTCTTTAATACGTCTTAAAGCAAAAAAAAAGGACTAATTGAATGACACTATAGAACTTACACCAGAACAATGCAAACTAAAAATAGCCAAATCTTATGGTTTAGGGGTTATTGGGGGTTTTTTTTTTCATGGTTTTGATTTTAATTTTATGGTTAGGTATTTGTCTTCTGGTATAGATTGGTTTCATTGCCTTAGTTGTAGGTTTCTTTTCTTTTATTCTTAGATTTTTTTATTAATTGAAATTCAGCTAAATTAAAATCCATTCCAAGTAAAGCTAATTTCAAAAATAAAAGATACATATTCTTAATATTATTAATATTATATTATGTAGTATGCTTATAGTGATCTAAAATTATTCCTTAAAATAAGCTATTCCGATTGTTTTATCAAATAATTTTTTAATATTTTCCTAAATTTCTTCGTTATTAAAAAGCTTTTTAGGCATCTAATTAGTTTCCTTTTACAGATGGTGCTCAGCATGGCTTGCATCGCATCAATATTTCCGAAGCTTCGGCAAAATTCTCTCATCAGAGAGAATCAGTGAGGAATTAAAAAGAGCTACCAAAATTAGACTTTTTAGTATGGTGATGGATCAAGATGGAATCGTACTCGCTGATTGTATAGCGTGTAAGATAGTTTCAATACGGTGTTCCGTACTTAAAGTTTAATATAAAACATTAAGTGCGCAATAGTGGCAAAAGTGAAAAAAAAACTCCTTAACAGGTAAAAACTATAATATTGCGGGTTAGTTGTTTTATTCAATATGACGTACACATAGGCCATGATGATTGAGGCATGTTGATTGTTCGTAGAGTGTACAATCTGTATCGTCTTTGCATGGAGGTCCGAATTTGAATAAGCTTTCTGACGAAGAATTTGATTCAGATCTGCAATAATGGTTTTTTTGTAATAGAATTATGATGAAAAGAATTTATGTCATATGCAGTAGAAAAGCTTCTTTGGTTCTTACATCAATCAAATGTCAAATAATCTGAATGAATGAATGAATGAATGAACGAATGAATGAATGAATGAATGAATGAATGAATGAATGAATGAATGAATGAATGGATGAATGAATGAATGAATGAATGAATGAATGAATGAATGATCCTTACCTTGTGCCATATTTGCAAATTATAAATAATTTTTTATTAGCGCCTTGCGTGCAAATATTCATTCCGCAACCTAATTCAGTTGCTTCTGCACGTATAAACTAAATTAAAACAGAGGAAAATTATTAACAATAAATATTGCAAGATATTTATGTATTAAAACTTTATGGGAAACAAATTATATGCAAAAAAGTTTTTTGAAAAAAAAATTTAATGTGGCATTAGATGCTCAAAAAGAAGTGACTTTCAGGATATCTGTCTTTATAATATTCTTCTTCTTCTAACAACTCTCACTCTTACTAATTATGGCTCCACTGGCCACGAGGAAAGACGTTTATAGTCTATTCGTTCCGACACTACCGCTGACAGTAATAGAAGCCATTTTTTTTTCATCGTCTAAACCCATATGCTGCTATTCGCCTTATAAAAATTTTTCTCATTGTATCAGTCCAGGTTTTGATTGGCCCACCTCGCTTTTCACGTAACCCATCACAAGCTTTAGCAAGTAGCGAAACGTGCATCAGTTTCTATCGTAGACGATGAAGGATATGCCTAACCAGTGACCTTTTACAATAACCCAATTTTAATTTAATATTATTATTAAAAGAGTTATATTTTTATATAATATATTATATTTCGTTAAAAGGAAATAAATAATTTTGCCTGGAGGAAACTTAGCAATTTATCGTCGTAGTGATTTCCTCCTTCCCACCAACTTGCTATAGCCACCAATATTGCTGAAAAATCGGAATGATTATTTTCATATATCAAATCATTTTTCATAAACGATTTGGATGCTGCATTACATAGTTAATTAACATACTTTTAAAAATACTTTTACTTTTTACAATATTCGGTGATAATCGTTTGACATAAATATTTTCATTCTTCGATTTACTCCTATAATTGCAGCTATCGACTCTTTTCTGCGCTTTCGATTCGAGTGCACAATTCCATCTCTAAAAAATAATTCTTATAGATTAGGGTATAGAAAGGCTCAGTGGGATGATGCTGACGAGTCACATACTTGTCATTTATCGCCAAGGGACTCCTTGACATATTTGACAAGTCAGTGGAGCGAATGTCTCTAAAAAAAAAAACCTACCAAAGTATACATATTTGAGACGGTTCGACCTTTCATATAACTTATATCGCTAGTTCCAAGTGCAATGGTAGATCGATATTCATTGTGGCTTATTTCAAATAATTCTCTCTGCGTTTCATCTAATTTTTCATTTTCGCAGCGCTCTTAAACTGATTATTTATTAAATTCGAAAGTGAATTCAATTGAAAAGTGCTAAATTCATTTCTTTTATGGATATTAGATTCGTCGCTAATTTACGGATTATTTCAATACATTCGATGATAATTTTTCAACAATTTAATGCAAGAATTTTTTTTAAAATTGTTCAAAAATTTTAAAATTTTTCAATTATATTTTTGGAACTTGGTTATCTTTAAGCGAAAATTTTATCCAAATTACCCGCATTAGCCAATAAATAAAGGCGTAAACCACGCATACTTCGAAAAACACCAAAATCTACCAAATAAGTACCACTAAATAAAAAGTACCAAAATTACCAATCAGGGCCAAAAAAACAAGGAGTTTATTGATGTTTTACCTTGACCGTAGAGATAACAACGTTAATTAAATAGTTGATTAATATGGTATAATAAAATTTTCGTGAAAATTTAACTCATTTTTTTAAATGAAGATTTAAAACCTAAAGTATCATAAAAATCATCTACCTTTGTAGGATGTTAGGACTAATGAAGGATTTTTTCGCGACGCTGTTCGTGCCAATGAGTTTTGTCCACGCGAATTTGACGTTTCACATAAATTTGTATTGTGATTGCAGATTGAATTTTCATAAGCAGAACAATCGCTATCAAATTGACAAGCTTTGTTAAATTGAGTTATTTCTTTAGGCCTTAAGATTGTATTAAATTTATTATAATTATTACAATTATAGTCTATAAATTTAATAATTTTTCTATAATAAATGAATTAAAAAGCAACTTAAAATAACCGGTTCATAAGCTTTCCTAAGTATTATGTGGTTCATATTGAAGGCAAAAAATGGCGTAAGAAATAAAAGTATTTTAAATATTTACCTGGAAAAATATAGGCAAACAAAAAGCGTTTCAAGGGAGCCTTCATTGGTCGGGCAATGATTTATACCACAGCCAATCTTAAAAATTAAAATGTAAAAATTAGCTAAAAATTAGCATGGCTTATTTCAGTTTTCATTTTCAATTTAGTGGCCCACTAGTGGCTTTTGATTTGAATGGATCTCCGTTGCGCATCAATTAAAATAAATTTATCTTACTTGAATTAAACTGGCAATATTTTTGGATTCGTTGTGATTAAACCAATTGTCAATTGCTTCCTTGAATATATCTAAAATATTTGAATATATTATCGATGAAAATTTTATTATTATTGTACACAAAATCTGTGGAACCAATTTCAGTTTCATGCCATTTTCAAAAAAAAAAAAAAATCATACAGCATAGCAATTCACCTATGTTTTATATTGCACTGATAATAAAAACTGATTAAAAAATCTTAAAAATAATTAAAAACTGAAAAATAAAAATATCGTTTAGTTTCTGACCATAAAAAATAATTTTATTTTAGCAAATTTCTTCTTTTCTCTTTATTTAATTCTCTAAAAACCATTTTTTTTTTACCTTTATTGGTGCCATTATTATGTATCTTCGTGAAAATTTTCTGCACAATTTTATGAGATACGGGCACTATTGTCGCATTGCAAATATTGGCTTCAAATTGGGCAATTCTTTCTAAATCGCAATTCCATTCCTAAAAATTGATCAAATATCTATTTTTATAATATTAGTCAATGGATTAATTTCACTGCTTTTAGGGCATTTTTTTATAATGAAGAAAATTTTTTTTTTATGTTTTTCAAGTGCATAGAAAAAAATTGAAGAAAGAAAATCGCTGTTAAAATTCTCCTCTCATATATTTCGTTTATTTATATAATTATCAATTTTTTGATTTGAAATGAATTAACCAATTTATAATCCTTTGCTGGAGAAGGTGAAGTACCATTATCATGCGAAAATTTTGATCGAATGGAATTGTGGGCATAAAGAATTTCCATTTGTTTACCATATTCCATGTAAGATGTTTCACAAAGACTTTTGGGTTCTTTATCTAACAATGAAATTTTTCCGACAAATAAATTAATAAATAAATAAAATGAAAATGGAATAGAGAAATTTAGAAAAATGCACGAATAATTTCGCATAATGAATTATTGGCTAAATTCTTTAATCTCTTAAAATGACTGCGAGACATGGAGTAGAGAATATTATCTGCTATTGACCAGTCATGTCCATGACACATTTTATGGATCCACCGAGCAGATAAAATCACATATAGATTATCGTCTTTGCTTGTTAGGACATGTTCTCGCCGCCAAACAGAAAAGTTGGCACATATTTCGTTGTAATGGATGACATTGAAAGCGAGGTGGTCCAGTTAAAGCCTGTGCTGATGCGGTCAGGAAAGATTTTTAGCATATAGGGTGACTAGCGGTACATGGAATTAGACAGTGGAAAAAGGAATGGCTTTCATTGTTATCAAAGATAGCTCTGATGCAGTTTGGAAATGTTTTAGCGAGAATATAGAGCCACTTTAATCAGTAATATCAGTAATATAAGATTTGTAGCTAATTTATATTAACAAATGCATTCGCCGAGCACGCCTGGAACGTTGCAAGATACTAATATTTGGCCTGTTTCGCAAGCAAAATTTTATCTTATTCTAATTTATTGACGACTAATTTATAGATTGGTCTTAATTCTTATACTAGCTATAGGACTAAACGGCGAAATAAATAACTTGGATTCATAGAAACTATAAGGTTTGTTCTGAAAAGATTTACGGTTGTAGAAAGATATGATGCAAAATATGGCTATATATATTTCTTGTAAAATTTTAAAATTGAAGATATTACATATTAGATTTTAGAATAACCACTGATAAGAATTTAGATTTTGGTTGCTCTTCGTGATAATTTATTAACTATGAAATCTTCTCATTAAGAACTCTTAGAAAAAAATCCGAAGCATTCCTGATTGCATGCATAGGTATTTAAGCTAAAGCCATATTTCGAATATAAATCCCTGTTTGTTATATATTCCGAAACTATAGTAAGTCCCATAAATTAAGCGGTCTGCAGAAATACTTCTTGGTTATGCAAATCTTAACTGTCATTAACTATAGGCTTAAGCTGCAACAGTATAACTTCAATCTATTGGAAAATTAAGAGAAAAAAAGAGAGTTTCAAAACACAGATCAAATATTGGACCGTGTTTGTCTTGAATACTTGCAATAAATAGAATTTTAACTTGAATTTTAGCTTCGCAAAATATATTTTAAATTATACTTGCAAGAAGCAATTTGAAGAGTTTTTGAAGAATTTTGGTTAAATATTTAAATTAATTTGTGCCACATTCACTCTATTTTTTCTCTTAACGGCTCTAATCCAAGCCATTAGCTTTGCTGTTTAATCTTTTTAAAATAAATAAAAATAAATAAATAAATTTAACTTCAAACATAAACTACCAAATACCAAATGATTCATCATAAGATAAAACCTTTAAAAATTTTTTAAAAAAATAGAAAAAAGTGGCAAACTAATTTAACCATTTTGGACGAAGTTCGAAAACACAGCAGCGATATAACTGAAAACAAAGTCAAACAACATGGAAGATGATTCCCAGCAATTCGATTCGAAGTGCTATGGAGAAAGAAATTTCGAATTTTTATAGTAAACCACCTTTTTACAATAATACGACATAATCTGGCAATGGAATCGACATGCAAGGCGCGTGAATTAAATTAATTCTACCGATATCGTTATGAATTTTTAACTATTTCACAAAGCTTAAATGAATTTTGCTCAATGAATTTTGCCTCAAATAATACAGTAAAAATTAATCAAAAATTAATTAAAAATCTTTAAAAAATGAATTTTTCTTTAATATATAAAATAAATAAAAGAAAATGAAAAAATAAATATTTACGAGTATTATTTTTATTTTTATTTTTAAATAAATATTTACGAGAATATTTATTTTTTTAAAAAATTTTTAAAGGTTTTATCTTATAATGAATCATTCGGTACTCAATTATTAATCTACGTGTGTTGCTGGCATTGCTGGCAGCCAATCTATATTTCACCATGTATAAATTTCTTGGCAAGAATTTCTAGCAATATTAAGGGCCAACGAAGCCAGCCTCAGTATAAATTACAAGCGCTAACCCGCTTGTTCTCATTGCCTTCACATATAATTGTTGTCGTATCAATTGTCATTATTACTGAAGAATTTTTGTGAAAGGTAAAATTTTCAATTTTAATTTTTAAATTTTTAATTTTAATTATACCTTTTTAATTTTATATTAGAAACAATTTTTTTTATATTAGAAACGTAAGTTTTGAAATTTTTTTTTTGAATTTACATAAGCACATTGTTTTAAGATTTTTTATTGCAAATAAAATTCATTCATTTCATATTTACGAAATATTTACGAAATTCGAATTTTTAAAACCAAAAATTAGAAATCAACCAAATTATAAGCTTTTGGAAATTCATTTGCATTAAAAAATTTATTCGAATTTTCGAAACCAAAAATCAGATAATTAAATGCTAGAAAATTTGTTTGCATAAACTTTATTCCGATTTTTATATATAATTTAATCGAATTCTTTTTATTCATAAAATTATGGAATAGATTTCAAAAAATATAATAATGAGTTGTTGCGAAAATATCGCCATTTTTATTGAGATAATTTCAGTAAAAAAATTTGCTGCTAGAAGAAAATAATCACGGGCAATTTCTGATGAAATTACTTTCTATTTAGTTGAATCTAATGAAAATAGAATAATTTAATAATGGACTATAAAATATTACCTGAGCAACGTTTACCAGATGCTCTACGAATTTTATTGGATAAATAAAGCAATGAGAAATATATCCAAAGGAAAATATATAATATATATTGAAGCAGCGAGTTTGAAGAGATTAAGGTGACATTTAAAAGTAGTGATTTCAACTCAACACCCAACGTTAAGGTAAATTATATCATTCAAATATATTTGATACATAATTTGCCTACTGGGAAGTCAAATAAAACCAAAGTTTTGGTTTCACATTGCTTGTCCGAAAATGCTTCAAGGATCATCTGTGTTTCTCTTGCTTTAGACGAAGCAAAGAATCATTTCTGGGTGGCATTATCACTGACATAGAAATGAATGCTTTATGAAAATGATAAATATCATAAGCGCCAAAGCACATTATTCACGGCAAATACTCTATTTCTATTTGGAGGAGAAAATAAAGAGGAATAATCTGGCTGGAATTCTAACCAGTCCGGTGCAATCCTTCAGTTTTCATCGAAATTAAAACTATTTGAAAAACTATTGCCACAAAATCGGCTGAAAATCAGCTTCCTATCTTATAGGACTGAAAAAGTTCCCTATGAATTATAAACAAATTAAAATTATAAATTAAAAATAGTGGTAATATTTGAAAATTTACAGATTACTTTTATTATTTTTCTCGAAATTTATTTCATTTTCTTCGATTTGGAAATTCTTTTATCCTTCATTGCTTTTACTTTCTTACTTTCGATTATTTTTTCTAAATTTTGCTCAATCATTTCTCATAGATGATTCGCTCTAAGTTATTAGTTCAATAACATCTATTTCTCCTCGGTACAAAGTTTTTTTTTTCAGTACTAAAAAAATTTTCGTATGGACTACTCAGAGAAAAATTCATATAAATGAATGAAAAATTCCACAATAATTGAATATCTATTAAAAATTGAGCCTTTTTGAGTTTCGGCTGAATAATGTTTGGGCATATAAAAAGTTTTCGCAAAGATTTGCTTGGTTTTCACAGGCTTCTTACTGGAACATCACCATATCGTTTAAAGGAAAAAACGATTATAACAAGTTCGAATCGATACCAATAGACTAAAACCTAATTTCCTTCTCTTTCCTCTCCAAAAATTTTGTGGATTAATCCAGACAGACAGATGTTTCTCATATAATTTTCAAATCATACCTTGTGAATATTTTTGAAATCAAAAAAAATTGATTTTATATATTGGAAAAATTTTCCACTTTCTTTCATATTTAATATTTTTACATTTATATAATAAATTCTCATTTTTCGATTCAAACAATAATGCGTGTGATAACGAATTATATATATTTTTAAACAAAGAATATCACACGCAAATTTCAGTCATTTGTAGAATATGAACGATTGAAATTAGAACTTATTTAACCTCAAGGAATGACTGTTTGGAGAAGATGTGCAACATGAAATTAAGCGATTATTATTATTACTTTATTAATTTATCAATTATTATTATTATTTTTTGTTTTTGGCATTAATTCTTATTATTTGTTATTTTAACTGTTGTTATTAATACAAGCACATGACGTTTGCGCCTTGCTTGGCTGGTTTTCAATAAATAAATAAATAAATTTCGGAAAAAGCTGAGATTACTCAAGCTGATTATGATTTAGTTATGATATAGAATACGATTTCATCAATCCAACTTTTAAAATCCTGCTGAATAAAAGAATTTTTTTTGGCCAATCAAATCAATGGAACTACAGATTCTGAAAATGCAGTTTTACATGCAAATGTAATCCCCATTTTTTACAAATTTTTCGCCACATTTCCTTTATTTCATTTTCTCGGCATTTAAATTATCAATAGTTTTAAATCACATTCGCATTTATATTTATAATATCATTTTAATAACAAAAAATAATGAAAGAATATGAAAGTTATGCTTGTTGTTCTTTCAATTTTGAAGTTCCATTTTTCCATTTACCGCCTTTCATTAAAAGAGTTAACATGGTGCTCATATGTTTTAATTTATTGATCAAGCGTTGAGAAATATTACGGTTATTGATGTTATCAAAAATAAACAATTTCTGAGCCTTTTGATGCATTGTATGGTAATCGTAACTAATCGGAGTGGCATTCAACGATTTAATAGCCAGTATGCAATAATATAATGCGATTTCATTTAAGAAAGTACCAACGGTTAGCCAATGAAAGTAACAACAGTGCCTAAAAGAATTTCTAGTG